GGAGGGCTGGGTTCTGTGGGAGGGAGACCCCAGGTGTGTCTTGCCCCACTGGGGGGTGCCTAGGTTCTGTCCAGGGGTGCCGACACGGGGACCTCCCTACCCCCTCCCCAGGCTAAGACTGACTGACTGCCACCTCGGCCTGTCCCCGGGGACACCAGACACGCTTCTGCTGGGGGCTGGGGGGCAGGGACACCACCCAATGTGCCCAGCTCACAGGTCTCCCAGTGGGGTCCTTGGCGGGATCCTCGGGAGGCGGGCAGGAGAGGGGCCTGGCCAGGATGCTCATCCCCCACAGCAGGGAGCCCTCCTCAGGACACCCGCTGGACAAGAGCAGGCCCCGCCCACTGTCTACCCGCTGTTCCCAGGTGGGCAGAGGGGCCGCAGGCCTGGCCGGGACACAGCGTCCTCCCTCCTGCCAACCTGAGGCCCTGCCGCCGCTGCCCACTCCCCTTGACTTCCTCCTCTGGCCCAGTTCCTGGCCTTGGCAACGGAAGCCCGCTGGCGATGACCACTGGCGGAGGCGAGAGCACCCCGCACACCCAGGTGGGCAGCGACGGAGACCCAGAGGTCTGGCCAAGGCTGGTGCGAGGGCGGCACATTTCCCAGGAACTAAAATAGCCGCTGTCCCCGGGCAGATGCATGACTCACCCTGGCCCAGCCCAAGGCAAGCCCAGGGCCTTCGGCTCTTCCCCTCAAGACCTGGCCCCGGGAGCCCCGGGCACTGCCTGCTCCTCACAGGGTGAAAACCAGGGAGCCCTGAACGCCGAATTCAGGTGCGTCTCCTGCAGATGTTGATCTGAGCATGTCCCCAACTGCAAGGTCACTCACTGGCTGTTGGGCTGGAACCCACCTGTACTGGGCTTCCTGTTTCTTATTTGTGCTCAATCTGGTGACCTGTCCGGCAGAAGCAGTCCTGGATATATACAGCTGGTGCTCAACGGATGCCTCCTTTGTTCTTGATTAGTCTTACCAGGCTTAGGCCAATGTGTCTCAAACAGGGGTCCCTGAACCTTCAAGATGCCTCCAGGGTCCATTAAAATGCAGACCTCCAGCCCAGGAGGCCGCCCCAGGAGGCCACCCCAGGAGGCTCTGGCCCTCCAGGCACCCCTGGGAAGAGGTTCAGGAGCAGCCGGCCTCACCTGGACCTTGCCTTCCTACTGTGATCTCGAAACTGACAGAGAGCAGCCCACAGCCACCGGGGATCAAAGAAACCGCACTGCAGAGAGCTCCCTGGACTGGCCCCTGGGAGGGGCTTTACCTGGTACCCACCTAGAGTCTTGCTTCTTGCAGCACAACG